ATACTGTGATCATTTACTTTATGTATTATTTTTGACAAGAAGTTTATCTACTTACAGAGAGAGTTTATTCACTTTAATTCTTTAAATGGTTGATCTGACAAATTACACAATTAAAAGTAGTATCATTTGATTAACTAGTAAAAGTCTTGTAACTCAGATGTTTAATAAACATTACTGTATGATGATAATGCTGATATTAATGGAACAATAACTTAAGATATATAATAAGATCAAGAATTTGCGCCATTATGACCAATTCTAGGTATTACTTATCGTCTTCAACCACTGATAGAGGTTATCATGAGAATCCTAACTAGGTATTCTATATTTGTCAACATGACTCAGACTATAGCTGATTGTATATCGTAATGACACAATCAAGCTATAATGGTGGGAATACTCGTCGCTTTATGTCCTAACGTGTTGGGCAGATAGGTTGAAGAACATTATGATTGAAAGCAGTAAACTTGTGGCCTGAGGGATAAGTTTTACTCCCAAATATACCGAAGTATAGCTCCAGAATGATGTTGTCCTGAAATAACCACCATCTGTATTGATTCAACTTTCTTATAGCGAATGGACGAGGTTGGAAAACATCTGTCTCAAATAGTTTAATCATAATGGTCTCATATTGTGAAACTGCATTAACCCGTTGGAATCCCATAATCATGATGAATCCCCTCAACATTCCAAGAACACATTGCTGATAAGTTTCCAACTAGCACGAAACATAAATGTTAAGTTATCTGACGATTACCGTTCTGTTTACTCAAGATATGTAACGATTGAAAATTATCATCACACACACAGTCAGTCAGTCAGTCAGCTACAACGTAGGACCAGGCACATATGTGCATCGGTCCAGGTTGCCATACCTCATTAGCACAGCAAGATGAACACCGGATTCATAGGAGTGGTTAGGTCAAAGGTTGCAATAAGGATATAGTATAGGAAGCAAGAATTAGTTCGTAGACAGAAAGAATGAAGTGATTTTAGTCTCTTAGTTTAAGGGAAGACAGGGAGTGTATACACCGACGCCATTGTGATCGATTCCGAGCCATGTCCCCAAGAGTCTCCAACCATTGGTTACGAAAGTCACGCGGACCCCAACCAAGTAGTCTGCATCTACCAACATGGCTCAGACTAGAAGTTAGTGACTTCAGGCACTGATGCCACGTTTTGGTTTGGCCGCTTCTAACTTTCTTCCAACCATCCCCTACCCCGGTTAGCATTGCACGTCGTGGTAATCGGTGTTCAGGCATACGTAATACGTGGACCAACCATCTCAGTCGATGAAGATTCACAACCTCATCAACTGATTTACCATCATTCCCTAATACCCTGCGTCTAACCTCGCTATTACTTACCCGGTGGTCCCAACAGATGCCAGCAATATTTCTAAGGCATCTGTGGTCAAATACTAGTAGCTTACGGGTGTCTTCTACTCTTAAGGGCCATGTTTCGCTGCCGTAAATTAAAACAGAACGAACTGCCGCGCAGTATACTCGTCCTTTTATTGATAGACGGATATCTCGCCTTCGCCAAAGGTGACGCAACTTGGCAAAAGCCAAACGAGCTTTTCGAATCCGTGCTGAGATTTCGTCCGATACCAACCCATTAGGGCTGATCAGACTTCCAAGATAAGTGAAGTTATCAACGCGTTCGACTACTTCACTCCCTATCCTTAGTTCAGGTGTTGACGCAGACCAGTCCTGAAGCTTGTATCAACCAACTATAATCCGAACATCATCATCATCATCAATGTGTGCTGAATTGAACACAATAGATCATTGATAGATATGATGTTGAAATCCAGTGATTTATAAGCTTGAAACTTTGAAGATATCTATTTTGCACATCATCAAAATTTAGATTAAAATTCATTCTGATAAGATTATATGAAGGATTGTTCTAGGCTAAACTTGATTCTCCAGACTAAATTAAAACACTAGTGATACAAATTACTTAGAAAATAGACATTTAAAAAAATCGATTAAGCATTCAATCATCGATTCAGAAAAATAATCAATCGATCGAGGATAATATCACGCCACGGAATGATCATTACATTTACTAGAGGAGAATGTACAAATTTGTCTTTCATTCTTTCATATATAAATAATATCGACCGTATATTTACATGCATTTGAAATGAAGTCACCTGTCTTTCTATCCTGATAAGTATAAAATGTTCTATGGATTGATATTGATTTCAAAAATCCAGTCTGATTGATTATTGATTTTTACAAAACTGGGAAAACGAAAATCAACTAGGATAACAGTCGCTTTGTTTAGTTTTTATAAAACTATCAAAAGAGGACATCATGAACGATTTCGTTAATATATACCTCTCTAAATGCTCTCAGATAGCCACGCGTATAGAGTCACTGCCAGAAAAGTCCGACTCACTGCCTTCTCGTGGTGTTACTGTTGTTCACGAAATTGAGAAGACGAAAAGAGAATATCCAACGCTTTAATCAGTCTTGAGTGCTGTTAGAGGTATGAAAGTGGTTATCACTCCCCGGTTGCCCACACCGTGGAAGGGTTCTTCTTCTGAAGGTACCTGAAAAGGAAACTGGATGAGAGGTGGTATTAGTGACCTGAGAGTGTGATGACAGTACCCAAGGGAAAACTGCTTGAGGTCGGTCACAAACAGCCTTTTTATGGGTAGTTTTTGTGTTAGCTCCATGCTTGTTGAGACCTTACCGCTGGAGACGGATATCCGTGGGATAAGGCGAGGTGTTCATTTTTGAGGTCGACCTATCCTAACCCCACCCTTCCTTGTGGGAAGGAAGCATCACTGTCATGCTGGTTATCTGAAGGAAACACTTTACTGCTGTCACACCTCTGTACAGTCAGTAGTACGACTTCGCCTTCGGACCTTGGGTTTTTTTGCTTTTAGTCTTACTGCTCTTCAACCGACCTGTCTGACATGGTAGGACCTTGAGGAACGGTTGTTCCAACCAGTATAGCTCGGTTGCTTCATCACTACAGACAAGCCCGACCACCACGTCAAGGAAGCAACAACGGTCGTGGTGACGCTTTAATCAGGTTGGTGGATCTGGAGAATCCGTCTAGGGGAGTTGGAAAACCTTGATACCAAGCAAATGGTGCACATAGACTCCAGTATCCTGAAGGAACAAATGGCGTATGAACCTATTGTTAGTCACTGGCTACCATGGGACTGCATCTCCTCACGATACTCAACTGCCTTGTGGATCAGACCTTTATGTTGAAAGCTCCGAGTGTGGCTGCCTGATAAAACCACCTGCTTCGGTTTGGGCACCCAGGTGGTATCACAGCCCTCACACAAATCAAATGAGATTTGTGTGTCGCGTATGTATTTGGTGCCTCCTTGTACCAATGTGTTCAAATAAATTTCTGCTTGGTTATGTAGTACTTACAAAGTTTTTCAGTAGTATAAATTTTATCTGATATCTTCAAAAACGACTGGTTTCTGTGAATATAGGTACACTTTTTAGGATGCATAATTCCGGTGTATTTCCTTATTCAGAAAATACTTCAATGATGTCCTGAATGTCTTCTATGAAATATTTCGACTTGAATCAATGATGAGATGTTTGAATATTATAGGTGAACTTAACGTATTAGAGACTGTGTTGACATTTGTGTAGTGGCACGAACTGGGTTACTTATCACCTCAATAAAATATTGAATTTTATCTACAAGATAAACATGCTAATTGTTAGCTTAAAAAACACTTAAAATCGAACAATAGTTGTTGAGATTTAGAGACTTTGACCCCAGATGAGTTTACTGACTGTTCATTTTCATTATAATCCATGATCTTATCATATGGGAATAAGAGATTACGCAATCTGATAATACCCTGGATGAACAACATTAAAGCATATAACATTGACTATATTCTATTCTTTATATACACAGTACAAATTTCACAATCTGGAAACTTTTATAGATTAAATATCAGTATTCTAGATCAACTTACATTTGTAACGAATAAGTCCTTCTACCCAATAAACTTTAACAAGTCGAAATTCAAATGAACAGAAGCAACCTTAGAGTCTGTAGTACTGTGAATCATAACAAAAAAAGTCACTGAAAATTGGGATGAAATTACAACTAGAAAAAACTGTGTAGTACTATATTTACCATTTATTGATTAAGTGATAAAATTGAGTGCGTTAGGAGAATGTCAATTGTGAGTATTAGATTGTGAAGATGGTTGAATTTTACTAAAATCCTGAACCTATCTAAGGTAGACCACCACTGAAAACCTAGAAGCACTGAAATACTGTTTTGTTTTAATATAAGACTCTTCAACAATATACATTCATGACTTCGCATGCGGAAATCGAACCCAGGACCTTCGGCTTCAAGTGCGAAAACGTAGGCTCTAGAAGATAATTGCCCAAAATCATGTATGGATTAAGGGAACATACTAACACCAATGGATACCAAGAGTTCAGTGCTTTCAGGTGTCGGAAATGCTAGATTCACAGAAATCACTTGGCAAACGTCATATTTTCGTAATTTTGTTAAGAGAATTTGAATTTCTCATTTTCGCGCCAAAAGCTTTTATTTTACCTTCGATTTGTATTTCCCACCTGAAAGGAACTTAAATGTCATAGGTCCGTTTCCTCTTGTGACATTTCTAAGGACATTTTTGTATTGTGAATATACGAATGAGTTGTGTGCTTGTTCGTCCGTGCTCTCAACTGCTTGTGGAATATATATACTTTTTATTCTTTGTCTTTTACGTCTAGTTAGGAGGGCTGAATCGTAATGAAACAGCTTAATTTAGCATATTGTTGTGTTGGTGACTTTTGTTCCGTTAACTGGTTTAGTTGATATCATAATCTCTTCAAATATAACATCGGGTTTCCAATGATGACTAACTGATGGTCTAACTTAGATCAGTTTAGGATTTAAATAAAAACATTTTAGTTTCATGAATAGACGATGAGTTGCAATGGTACGATAAAAATTATTTAATCAACCCAATCTAGGAAGAAGAAGAAGAAGACGAAGAAGAAGAAGAACGAGAAGAAGGCAGAATGATTGTTAGCGTTAAGATTTATATGAAAATAAAACTAGAAATTATACAATCATCGAGTGTAATCACTTTGCATTCAAACATCATGGGCGCACACACACACACACACACACACAGAGAGAACAAACAAGCATACACATTCATACATACAAGAAGTTACATGTGAAAAGTAATTTGATATACAATTGAAATAATGAGTACATATATATATAAAATAATCCAAGTTCATTTACAAAGTGACGGTCTGTATATATAAATGTACTTCAATTATGAATGGATCTTTGTTTCATATACAACTGACGTGATTGACTTTGACATACTTCTAAAATAATATTCAATTGATCACATATAGCTCTAGCTCGTGACCATTGTGTTTCAAAGCATAATTGTTGAAATAAACTATTATTATTATTATTATTATTATTATTATTATTATTATTATTACTGTTAGTGATAACAGTAGTAGTAGTAGAAGTAGTAGTAGTAGTAGTAGTAATATTAGTAGTTGATATACTCGAGGTAGTTGTATTTATATTCATAGCAATATTAGTATTACAATTGGCATCAGTACTACTGAACATGTTAGTATTTGTGACCTCAGGTAAATCTTGTCCAAAACAAGGTATAATAGTTGATGTAGAAGATGGTGGCAGAAGAATATGAGGTTGTTGTTGTTGTTGTTGACCATTGGTAGCAGTTGGTCGTCCACCTCCACCAATACCAATAGAAGTGGTCAATTGTGAAGTTATCCAATCGGAATGTAAATCAAAATTAGGCTATAGGATTCATAAACAAAAATAGATGAAAGATGGAAAACAAAAGAAAATGGATCATTATACTAATCAGTTAGTAACCAATTGAATTAGTGACTAATTAGTAAAAAAAATTAAAACTACTGTTGACATACAAAAATAAGCCAAGGACTTAATATTCCAAGCACCTCCAGGTTGTATCTCTTCACTTCTGTAGCAATTTGGAAGACTCGCCTGGTCGTCTCCCACATTATACGAGTATTCCATGTGCCTAAATTACTGGTTGCTCTCGTTATCAGTAGGGGCGTCAGCCTCGTGACTTTCGAAGGAACTCGGCTTTCACCATGAGGCGTCATAACTCTTCTAAATGAAGACCTGACTCCCAGGACAGAGCTTAAACGGTTTGAATAATTTTTTCTGGTTAGCGTTATTTTAGCGAGTTAATTTTCTACGCGATGGGATCGATAACCCCATGCCCAACCCTCCTTATTTATCCGGGCTTGGGACCGCCAGTAGCCCCAGAGGGGCTCAAGGACTTGATATAACACGTTGACATCAGACTTTCTAACCGCTTCGTAATATCTAGAAATTTTCTACTTCTAAACCTTGGATGGAAAACGAAAGGTTGGAAGTATGGAAGAAGCTTTCAATCTTAAGGTTGTAAGGAGAAAATAAATATAGGTCGGCGATAATACAAGCACACGACAGTCCACAAATATCTAGTAGAAACTATAATTCCTAATTAACAATGGATCCAAAACTACAATACAACTCCAAAATATCTCATAGAGGTGACTGCATCTCCTGACGTTGCTCCACTACCTTATGGATCATACCTATGGGTTGGAGGCTCCGGGCCTCCTAAGTAAATCACCTGCTTCGGTCTGGGCACCCAGGCAGTATCACGACCCACACATAAATCAAGTGACTTGTGTGGTGTCTCCTTTTACCAATATTTATGTATTCAAATAAATAAATATAAATAAACAGCCTCACACATTCACAGACACATTTGGCTAGATGTACAAATGGTGTTTTCTATTTTGTCATCCGATATGGTCTGTTTGGTTTGTATATAAACCTAGTATGTTTGAAATATATGATTCACATAGCAGAGGATGAGATTGGTGTTCTGGACTCAACAGGCAGAGCTAGGCAGAAAGAAGTACCGATAAGAACTTTAGACTGCTCGTACGGGTTTTATGCGTCATTGGTCCGATCGATAATTTGCTGTTCTCTAATTGGTGGTATCATTGCATCATATCTTGATAGGAGCACAATTCCAAAAAATATAACATTATTTCTTTCTCTCTCTCTCTCTTCAATTGCCAACTTATCAGGATAGTTTTCATCTTTGTCCTCTCGAGGTCGTTGAACCATGAATCGAACTCAACCGTTGCAAATCTCAAGGTTGTACTGAGTAACATATCATGTCAAGGCCATACACTAGATGGAGACAACTCTTACCTTTCTTGTGTATTAAACACAAACTAGTGGATAAATAGATCAAGGACATAAAAAAGGTCAATTTCAAAACGTGAATTTTCTGATAAAATCATCATCTACTCTTCATGTGGATCATACAATGAGAAGATGTAGTTTATGAGAACTATGTGGTGTATTAACACAACAGATTTCATATTGTTCAAAATATATACTGCTAATATTATCATATTAGTTCTTCGGATAAATTTTAACTTCTCATTGAATTAATTAGATTTATTGAAGGGATTAATTATTTAAAATATTTTAATTAAGAAATATATTTTATAGTTGAATTCATGAGTCGATGTAAGCTAGATCATCATGGAAAGTCTAAAAGCACTGGACGACTGTTTCATCCTACTATAGTACTCTTCAGCAGTGTGCGTCCATGATCCAACGGGAGCATTGTTGAAGAGTCCCATATCAGGATGAAACGGCAGTTTAGTGATTCCACGTTTTCCATTGTGGTCTAGCTTTAATTGGCTCATGATCTCAAGTATTGAAATTACTAAAATCTCCACAAAACCCCTTCTGATAATAATCAACTGCTCACTAGTGACTGACTTCAAGAGGAAGCTCCTGAATTTCTAGTGAGAAGCTATTACCAGTGGAGTTCAACCAGGTCTATTCTGAGATAACAACTCACTGAAGACGATAGTGTACGGTGGTGCAATTTCGTGGATTAATTGAGGTTAGACATTAACACCATTAGACGCCAGCTCATTGGTCTAATGGTTAAGCGAATGCGCGCGAGACTAATAGGTCCTGGATTCAAACCTTGCTGGGGGCGGGATCGTGGATGCGCACTGCTGAAGAGTCCCATATTAGGACGAAACAGTCACCCACTACTTCCAGGTTTTCCATAGTGGTCTTATTTTATTTATTTATTTTAACACATTGATATTGGTACAAGGAGGCACCAAATACATATACGCCACACAAATCTCACTCGATATGTGTGAGTGCTGTGATACTGCCCGGGTGCCCAAACCGAAGCAGGTGGTTTCTTAGGGGGGCCACTCCCCGAGCATTCGATCTGAAGGTTTGATCCACAAGGCAGTGGAGCATCGTGAGGAGATGCAGTCCCATGGTAGCCGGTGACCAACGATTGGTTCATACGTCATTTGTTCCCGCAGGATACTGGAGCCCATGTGCACCATTGGTTTGGAATCCGGTTAAAGCGCCAGACATTCGATTTTCGTCCTCTCATTTTCGTGAACAACACCCCCGCTACGAGAAGGCAGTGAGTAGGACTTCCCTGGCAGAAGCTATATACGCATGGCCGTGTGAGAGCATTTCGAGAGGGAGAGCAGACTCTCTTCACTCTCGGCCGTACCAGGGCATTTGGTCTCAGTCAGTCAGTAACAACGTAGAACTTCGTACGTACGTACTTACATCAGTTCGAGTTGCCACACCACATTATCACAGAGATGCAGTTGTCGATTCAAATCCCATAGTAGTAGAGTTAGTAAAAGTATAAGCAGTAATCGGGAAGATTAGGGTTTGAAGATGTTATTCAAGGAGTATAATCCAGTGAAATAAATTCGGAAAGAGAAAAAAAGGGACATGAAGAATTCAGAAGATTAGAATTTGGGAGAACACAGAGAGTGCATGCACCTGCGCCATTGCAAACGATTTTGAGCCATGTCATTCAGGGTCTCTAACCATCGGTTGCTGTCATCTCGCGGTCCCCAACCAGGTAGTCTACACCTACCAACATGACTCAGTTCACTTGTCAGTGACTTCATGGACTTGTGCCATGTTTTGGTTTGGCCGCCCCTAGCTTTCTTCCAACCTACTCCTATACCACTGAACATCGCACGTGGAGGCAGTCGGTCGTTGGGCATACGTAACACGTGTCCCAGCCATCTCAACTGATGAAGTTTCACTACTTCATCAATTGATTTGCCATCCTTACCTAGTACCCGTTTCCTAACAACTACATTACTTACTCGATGGTCCCAGGATATACGAGCAATATTTCGAAGACACCTATGATCAAATACTAGTAACCTATGTATATCCTCTACTCTTATCGGGCATGTTTCACTGCCATAAAGTAGGACGGAACGAACTGCTGCGCAGTAAACACGTCCTTTGGTTGATAGACGGATATCTCGCCTACGCCATAAATGACGCAAGTTGGCAAAAGCTAGTCGAGCCTTCTGTATCCGTGCTGAGATTTCGTCACACACCAGACCACAAGGGCTGATCAGACTTCCAAGATAAGTGAAGCGGTCGACACACTCAACTACTTCACTCCCTATCACTAGTTCGGGTGTCGATGTAACCCAATCCTGAAGCAACATTTTGTATTTCGAGGGAGAGAATCGCATCCCGAACATGCTTGGATTGTTGCTTAGAGTGGTCAGAAGACTCTGCATTTTGTCAGCGTCTTCACCAAATAAAACTATGTCATCTGCATATTCTAAGTCAACAAGTGAACCTCCCGGTAGAAGTTCAACCCCTGTAAATTTAGATAAGGAGAATGTTATCTCTAAAAGTACGTCCACGACAAAGTTGAACAAGAATGGGGAGAGTGGACAGGGCATTTGGTCTAGTTTTAATTAACCCATGATTTCAATGATAATCAGAATACAATGAAATTGAATTGATTCCCACTTACAATATAAACAATTCTAAATTGTGTTTTATGTGATAAAAATGATTTGGATGATTGTTCAGTTGTTATAGAATGTTTATTATGATTTGATGTTTTATGATTTCCTCCTATTACATAATCTGTGCATAAATTACCAGAAGATTTTGGATTTGATTCATCAATATTATGATGATGATGATGAGGAGGAGGAGGAGGATGATTATGGATTGTAATAGATGATTTATCCATTATACCATAAGTTGAATAACCATTAGTGATTAATTCACAATCAGCAATTGTATTAATTTGTATAATAATTGATTTCATTAATTTAGAAAATAATTTTGGACGTTTTTGTTCAATTTTTAATTCATTTGATGAAATATCTAGAAATAAAGAGAAAAATGTGATGATAGATAAGTTGTAGAAGTTATGATGATCATTTATAATACATTACATAGTTAAGCTTGTTACTTTCAATGGAGTATAGGCCGTCGACAAACATTCTCCAATTTATTCTGTCCTGGACCTTCCTTTTCAATTCTGTCGAATTTTTGTTTATCCTTCTTATGTCTGTCTCTATTTCTCAGCGTAACATGTTCGTTGATCTTCCTATTCGCCTTTCGAGTTGAGGATTCTAAGTAATGAGCGCTTGCTTTGTGACATAGTTCGGTGCTTTCCTCAATGTGTGTCCTATCCACTTCCAGCGATTCTTCCTGATTTCTTCCTCCGATGAAATCTGATTTGTTCTCTCCCACAGTTGGGTTGTTGTTGATAGTGTCTGGTAAACGGATGTGAAGTATTTTGCGTAGACAACTGTTAATAAACATTTGTATCTTTTGGATGATGGCTTTCGTAGTTCTTCAAGTTTCCACCCCATACAGTAGAACTGTCTTGTCATTTGTATTGAAAATTCTGAATTTGGTGTTCGTTGACAGTTGCTTTGAGTTCTAGATATTCTTCAATTGTAAATAAGCTGCTCTTGCTTTGTCGATCCGCGCCTTCACATCTGTAGAGTTACGATAATAAATTACATAGCTGCTAGTTAAATAATCATTGTAGACCAGTAAACATTGAATAGTTTTGCATAATGGTGACTACCTAATGAATTATGATCGATTTGTGAAGTAAACAATAAAATTCAGCAATCTTAGTAAACGCGAAACTCTGGAAGATGTGGAATACTTCACATACCTGGGAAGCATCATCATCGATGAACAAGGAGAATCTGATGTAGACGTAAAGGTGAGGATTGGCAAAGCAAGAATAGCATTCCTAAAATTGAACAATATATGCAACTCAAAACAACTGTCTGTCAACTAATATCAAAGTCACAATCTTCAATACGAACGTCAAGACAGTTAGTTCTACTGTATGGAGCTGAAACTTGGAGAACTACTAGAACCATCATCAAGAAAGTACAAGTATTTATAAATAGTTGTCTACGTAAGATACTAAACATCCATTGGCCGGATACCATCAGCAATAGCTTTCTGTGGGAGAGAACAAACCAGCTTCCAACTGAAGAGGAAATTAGGAATAGGTGATGGAGTTGGTGGATAGGACATACATTAAGGAAATGATCAAATTTCATCACGAGGCAAGCACTAACTTGGGACGCTGAAAGGGAATAAAAAAGAGGAACACCAAAGAACACAATATATTGATAGTTGGAAGCAGACGTAAAAATGGATGAATAGCAACTGGAAAGAGCTAGAAAGGATTGCCCAGGACAGGGTTGGATTGAGAGTGCTGGTGGACGGCCTATACTTCCCCACGAGGAGTAACAGGTGTAAGTAAATAAGTCTATAAATGCTCTACTTCGCTAATAATAATGCGCTCGTCATTGACTAATTACGATAGACAATTACTGAAGCTGTAAGTGAGAGATCGTATCCAGTTGAGTTCAACCATGTCAGATGTGAAGCGATTGCCCACTAATGGTAAATGGAGATGGTTGTACAAGATCGTTAATTAATTGAAGTTGAACATGTAAATCATTGGACGCTAACTTAGTGACATAAAGGTTAGGCGCTTACCTCAATGTTTAGTTAACAAAACAAATCTAACTGAATATGAAAGTATAGGAGTGTTAATGATAGAAGTATGCATACCATGGTAACCACCTCAAATGAAAATGATAAAATAACATTGTTCGGTTAATCAGAGGTCGGAATCGATAGATTAACTGAGATTGCAGATCACATATATGAACACACACAAGCTAATTCGAATAGTACCATCAAAAAACACAAACGACAGATAGAGTAGACTATTTCGAAAACAGATTTTACACTTTACGCTTAAACGTGACAAACTTCAGAGGTGTGCACACACACACCAATATTATCACAACGTACATAGAAACGTGAAAAATAGATAGAACAGTAGACGCAGGAACACCGAGATATGCTGGTATCATTAAATGTTTGAGAACCGAGCTATGCAGTGTCAGCCATGTTTCGATTCGACTAGCTATGACAGAAAAAACCTACCGGTGACCGATGAAGGCTCCTGCTGTTGGCCTAAACTTACGAGGCAGTCACTTATTCTACATCCAAAGATGAGCAAAAGCAGCGCAATCTGACTCCATTGATGATGAACAATGATGATAGTAAATTATAAATTTCTACTGAATTCGCATACATCTTATTGACATAACAGGTTCAGAATACAAGTCGGGATACGAATGCTACGGGTACATATACTTCAGGCATTCGTATGACCAGACAAACCAAGAGAGTCAATAAGCAAATGAAGTATGCAGAGTCTTTTAATGGACTCGTACATAATTCACACATGCATAGAATAGAGAATGCAATGCAGATATACGCATAAACAAAGCACACAATAACATATATGAATATAATTAACATGGAAACGAATGAGAAAAGCAAATCTGTAAAAGGTCAGAATTATTTAGGAGAAACGGTATTGTAAGAAGGTAAAAATAACCTAATAGTTAAATGCTATCTGATTTATTATACATCCAAAAGCTAGAATAATTTGTTTACGGATGTAATAAGAATTGCTAGTGTATCTGGTGATGTGTTTGAGAAATTAATCTTGCATGTTGTGTGGAAGCCTAAATGGATATGTAAACCTAAGTTGTAACAGGTAAACCTCACTGACGAGTGCCTAATAGCATGAAACCTACATCTGGTATTTCCTGTGAACTAACCCCAATCACCATCTTATCTCAACATACTGCACGCAATGTCGACTCACCTACATTGGTGGCCACATCGCGAATTGATCGATAGGAAGGACCTGATACACATGACATTGATCACCACCCAGTGATCAATCAACTGTAAATCCTAGCTCGTGTACAATTGCATTAGAAGAAAACTAAAAGCATCCAAATCAAAATTTGGGGTCAGTTTATGAAATCAATGACTGTTGGAATGGTGAATCAAACTTCTTGAATGGATTATGTGCAATAATTCTGATCAGTAGCTGGGCATGTTAAATGAAATGCTCAGAATCAGCCGCATTACTGAGTGGAAGTATTTATTTTTTTATCTTTTGTGTTGGTTTTTCCAAAATTCTATTCCATAGTTTTTCGTCTACAGACTCTTTTTTCTTTTCGAGACATATTTTCTATTTTTAGAATCGTCAACGATATTCAACACTACTATTATTTTGAACTGTTTGCTATGGATCATATGAATTTAGTCTCGCTATTAAGGTGTTTTGTGGGTACTAGGATTGATGCACATGTATGCTGCTAGGGTCAGTACTGTTTATGATGGACTGATTAATTGAAAATAGTATATTTATGACTAAATCAACTGTATAAACCAGAGAAGATTAATATATTATGCTGTAAGTCCCAACTAACTCCGCCTGGAGTCCCTCCGGGGGCTACTGCCGGTCCCAAGCCCGGATAAAGGAGGAGGGTTGGGCATGGGGTTAGCGTCCCCATCCCGTAGAAAACTAACTCGCTAAAAAAACGCTAACCAGAAAAAATTGTTCAAACCTTTTAAACTCTGCCCTGGGAGTCAGAAGGTCTTCATTTAGAAGAATTATGACGCCTCATGATGAAAGCCGAATTCCTTCGGAAGTTGCGAGGCCGATGCCCCTTCTGACAACCAGAGCAACCATTTATTTAGGTACATGGAATGTTCGTACAATGTGGGACACCGGAAGAGCCTTCCAAATTGCTGCAGAAATGAGAAGATACAACCTAGAGGTACTTGGGATCAGTGAAACACATTGGACACAAGTTGGACAACAACGACTAACTACAGGAGAGCTCCTGTTATACTCCGGCCATGAAGAAGAAAATGCACCACATACACAAGGAGTTGCATTGATGCTGTCCAAACAAGCGCAAAATGCACTTATAGGATGGGAATCTCATGGACCAAGGATCATCAAAGCCTCCTTCAAAACAAAGAAAGAGGGCGTTTCAATGAACATCATCCAATGCTATGCGCCTATCAACGACTACAATGAAGACGCTAAAGATCAATTCTACAATAGGCTGCAGTCAATCGTCGAGAAGTGCCCAACAAAGGACCTGACCATTCTGATGGGAGATTTCAACGCCAAGGTTGGGACGGACAACACTGGATATGAAGACATCATGGGACGACACGGACTGGGAGAAAGAAACGAAAATGGTGAGAGATTTGCAAATCTATGTGCCTTCAATAAGCTGGTCATAGGCGGCACCATATTCCCACATAAACGCATACACAAAACCACATGGACTTCACCGGATCACTCTACACAAAACCAAATCGACCATATTTGCATCAACAAAACGTTCAGGAGGACTGTAGAGGACGTGAGAACCAAGAGAGGAGCTGATATAGCATCAGATCATCACTTACTGGTCGCCAAGATGAAATTGAAACTCAAGAAGCACTGGACAACGGGGCAGACAGTATCACAAAAGTTCAATACGGCCTTTCTCCAGGATACTAACAAACTCAACAAATTCAAGATAGTCCTCAGCAACAAGTTCCAGGCCTTTCATGATCTACTCAATGGAGAAGGAACTACTGTGGAGAGCAACTGGAAGGGGATCAAAGAGGCAATCACTTCAACATGTCATGAGGTCCTGGGTCACAAGAAGCACCACCACAAGGAATGGATCACTGTTGATACACTGGATAAGATTCAAGAAAGAAAAAACAAGAAGGCAGCGATCAATACCAGCCGAACAAGAGCAGAAAAAGCTAAGGCACAAGCTGAATACACGGAAATAAACAAACAAGTGAAGAGGAGTATCAGAACCGACAAACGTAAATATGTGGAAGATTTAGCAACGACGGCGGAAAAGGCTTCAAGAGAAGGAAACATGAGACAATTGTATGACACGACAAAGAAACTCTCTGGAAATCGCCGCAAAGCAGAACGACCAGTGAAAAGCAAGGAAGGCAAGGTAATCACCAACATTGAAGAGCGACGAAACAGGTGGGTAGAACACTTCAAAGAACTCTTGAATCGACCAGCGCCACTGAACCCACCCAACATCGAAGCAGCACCCACGGACCTCCCAATCAATGTTGGCCCACCAACAATTGAAGAAATCAGCATGGCCATCAGACAAATCAAGAGTGGCAAAGCAGCAGGACCGGACAACATCCCAGCAGATGCACTAAAAGCAGACGTAGCGGCAACTGCAAGGATACTCCACATTCTCTTCAATAAGATTTGGGATGAGGAACAAGTACCAACAGACTGGAAAGAAGGACTTCTAATCAAAATACCGAAGAAAGGCGATCTCAGCAAGTGTGATAACTACAGAGGCATCACTCTTCTCTCAATACCGGGAAAAGTCTTCAACAGGGTATTGTTAAACAGGATGAAGGACTGTGTAGACGCCCAACTTCGTGACCAACAGGCAGGATTCCGTAAGGATAGATCGTGTACAGACCAAATCGCAACTCTACGGATCATTGTGGAACAATCAATTGAATGGAATTCATCACTCTACATCAACTTCATTGACTACGAAAAGGCATTTGACAGCGTGGACAGAACAACACTATGGAAACTTCTTCGACACTACCGCGTGCCACAGAAGATAGTCAATATCATACAGAACTCATATGATGGATTACACTGCAAAATCGTGCATGGAGGACAGTTGACAAAGTCGTTCAAAGTGAAGACCGGTGTTAGGCAAGGTTGCTTACTCTCACCGTTTCTCTTTCTCCTGGTGATCGACTGGATCATGAAGACGTCAACGTCTGAAGGGAAGCACGGGATACAATGGACATCTAAGATGCAGTTGGATGATCTAGACTTCGCAGACGATCTGGCCCTTTTATCCCACACGCAACAACAGATGCAGGAGAAGACAAACAGCGTGGCAGCAGCCTCAGCAGCAGTAGGTCTCAACATACACAAAGGGAAAAGCAGGATTCTCCGATACAACACAGCATGCACCAATCCAATCACAATTGATGGAGAAGATTTGGAAGATGTAAAAACCTTTACGTATTTGGGCAGCATCATTGATGAACAGGGTGGATCTGATGCAGATGTGAAAGCACGGATCGGCAAAGCAAGAGCAGCATATTTACAACTGAAGAACATCTGGAGCTCAAAGCAGCTGTCAACCAACACCAAGGTCAGGATTTTCAATACAAATGTCAAGACAGTTCTACTGTATGGGGCAGAAACTTGGAGAACTACAAAAGCCATCATCCAGAAAATACAGGTGTTTATTAACAGTTGTCTACGCAAAATACTTCAAATCCATTGGCCGGACACTATTAGCAACAGCGCACTGTGGGAGAGAACAAACCAGATCCCAGTGGAGGAAGAAATCAGGAAGAAGCGCTGGAAGTGGATAGGACACACATTGAGGAAAGCACCGAACTGCGTCACAAGACAAGCCCTCACATGGAATCCTGAAGGTCAAAGGAAAAGAGGAAGACCAAAGAACACATTACGCCGAGAACTGGAGATAGACATGAGAAAAATGAACAAGAATTGGATGGAACTAGAAAAGAAGGCCCAGGACAGAGTGGGTTGGAGAATGCTGGTCAGCGGCCTATGCTCCATTGGGAGTAACAGGCGTAAGTAAGTAAGTAAGTAAGTCCCAACTATTCGTGACAGACGAAATCGACTGCTATTGTCACGATTAGTTCAGGTGGTAGATACACCAACTGTTAGTCAACTCTCTTACTGACAAACCTGAAAAAGACTAAATTAGCACCGGTCCATAAGGGTGACCACATAGTTTATGCAATGACTAATTGATTTCAGTCATAGATAGTCTTCTGTAATTAAGTGTTTTTCAACTTGATAATATAAGGTCATGTGCTTTATAAACCGTAACATCGACAATATAAATCGGTGAGACAACGATGAGGCATTTTATTCTTCTTAATATGTAGCTTTTCTAACCCCACTCCTTTTATCTGTCGGGAGATAGTACCACTCGAGATGCTGGTTACCAATAGAAAACTAATTACTGTTACTACACTCCAGTACATTTATCAGTATGACTTATTCCTTGAAGCTGAGATTTCATATATTTGGTTATATCACTTTAAAAAATGATTTGGGTGGTATAGAAGAATGTAAGGGGGAAACTGTTAGAGCCAATACACCTTGACATATCACCACAATAGATAAACTCAACTGTAGAATCATGGTAACAGCTATACATAGCTATTGCCATTACTATTTTGTATGCCAAGTACAATTAACCAACAATAAAATCACGAAAAATCACAGCAATTTAACGATTAAGGAAAAAATAACATACTTAACTGAACTTCAGGTGGAAAAAGACCTTTTAAATAAGTCACCTGATATTGTCTTAAATGTAAAGCTGTATGAACTGGTTCTAATGTTGTATCTAACGCTAACATCGATTCTGATGACTTTGTTGCTTCAATATCATCGTTTTGATCTGAAAGAGCTGTATCACACCGACCTAAATTAAAACAAACAAACAAATACGAGGAAGAAAATGTGTGCGTTTTTACGTGAATGATAATTCTAGGTAGAAGAATATTGGCAATATATTGGATGGGATTTGAATAATAGACATACAGGATACTTGATCTTGGAACTACTAATCCCCATTAGCTACAACATTATGAGATTGAACTATTAATCATCAGTTCTGGATTTTACAATAATCAGGCAAATGATGAAAAAGGCTACATTTGCATGAAAAAGATGAAAGCAATTTGTATTTTAACACATCATCATGCTTCAAGATAATTTAAAGTTCAGTTGAGTTGGTGGAGTTGAGTTTATATGTGTTGTGGATGCGGAGGAATAGACCAATAATTATCATGTTAAGTCCAATGGTGTCCTTAGACTTTAAATGAACATTTCCTATTGGTCGATATCTGTTCACTTGTTGAATATTGTACAAAATGTTGTTTTCTATTTTATGGTACGATGTGGTATGCTTGATTGGTATATAAACAAAGTATGTTTGAAATATAATGATTCATATCTCAGAGGTTGTGACTTGTGTTCTGGACTCAACTAACTGGGCTAGACAGGGAAGCGAGACCAATCGAGACTCTAGGCCGTCCGTTCGTGTTTACGTGTCACTGTAGTCGATCGATAAGTACGCTGCTCTCTAATTTTCCAGTCAAGGACACAACAATTAGCACAGGGTAGAAATCGACAGCAACCTAAAGCCATAACAATATGACAGTTGAGTAGACAAGGAATTAAAAGCCAATAACCTGGACTCTACTATTTATAATTTAATTTGAACTAATAACTCACACACTAGTCAGCTATTTATAAAATAACGTAAGAACTGACAAAAATGAGTGACAACCTAACTTGCTTTCTCTAAAATTAGATCATTTTTTTGACCATTTGAAACCTTTGATATTTTTACGTTAGAATACTTTTGAAAGTTTCTACTGGAACTCCTCTTGATCTCGTTTAGAGAAACAACGAATATCACATACACTGATATTGAGAATGTGGTCAGTTTGAACTGAAAAAATGATTGTGCTAAATGTCTGAGTTACACAAGCCTAGCCATAATTTCTACTGGACGCGTAATGATGAATACCATACGAGTATGTTAGAAAAAAGCTTAAGACAACCAAAGTTATAGGAACAGTAGTTCATAAAGTTACTAGATGTTGGATGTGGCCGGTAACAGTTTACAACTTTGCAACTTAAACCAATCTATGGTCGAAAACCGTATGTGTCATTTAACCCAAAACAAGTCCCAGAGGTCCGAATGAACTCGTTCGTCGGTCTTATTTTTGAATTATAACTTTCACTGACAGTAAATAACGGTTATTTTTCATTTTGTTTCATACCCTGGTTAATTTCCTCTCTTGATGTACTGATGTAAGATTTGTCAACTTGAACCGACTGATTATTTGAAGGAGCATTTCAGGAGCCTTAATAAAACTAACGTCGAATTTTTCACGCCTTTGTGTGCACTACTAAAATCCTGTGTCAAAACATATGGTATTAGCACTTAATGACACTCTAAGCTTAACATTGGGATATTCTTATAATACTATAAACTATGGGGATCAATATAGGCCTATCCAGCACTCCATTCTTACTAATAAAGACAAGCGGAAATCGTTAGCAGGATACGATCTTGACTATTGCATGTCCAAGTCAAGGTCAAGTCCAGTGCGTTGATTCATTCACTTTCCAACCAGTCAGAACTAAATGGAATGAGAAGTTAAGGGAGGATTTATAAGTAAAATTTGTATAAACTTTAACGGTTTTTTTACTAAATTACTTTTATTGTTGGAATTTTTGGAGTATAATGTCGTTTGCTTATGACTTGTGTTCTGTTTTAGGACTGACCGAGTGAAGTATTATGTTCAAAAAATACCAAGCAGTAAGATTGACATTATCCAAATATTCGACACTTACTGCTTTCACGAACAAGAAGAAAGTGTAAGGGCAAACCAGCAGCAATAAAATAACTCAATGGTTTACTCATATCTAACTGCGAATTTTTATTCAATAGAAAATTATTGCTTTTTGTATTGTTGTTCTGTTGGTCTGTGTTCCGCGGCCAAAGTTCCAATCGATAAGCATAACCACCATGCTGGCGTAGACGACGACGATATACAGCACGTTCTAACACTGTACTTAGACACGTATCCGATGGGAATCGGAGTACACTCATACCTTGAGCCATATGTCTATATTTGTATTTAAGGGAATTGTTGAGAATTCGATTAACAAAATTATGATGTTTTAGTCAAAGAAAAAAGTATTTATATCTAAACTAATTCTACAGAAAACGTCAGCTACAATTATATGTAAATATTGGTTATCATTCGGGTAAGTAATAGTGAGGTTAGACGCAGGGTATTAGGGAATGATGGTAAATCAGTTGATGAGGTTATGAATCTTCATCGATTGAGATGGTTGGGCCACGTGTTACGCATGCCTGAATACCGCTTACCACGACGCGCAATGCTGACCAGTGTTGGAGATGGTTGGGAGAAATTTAGGTGTGGACAAACCAAAATGTGGCATCAGTTCTTGAAGTCACTAACTTCTAGTCTTAGCCACGATGGTAGATGCAGACTAATTGGTTAGGGTCCACGTTGGAGACTGTGGGTGAAATGGCTCAGAATCGATCACAAAGGTGTTAGTGTACACACTCTCTTTCCTCCCTTCAACTATGAGATTACTTTAAACCTTTATTTTTACGAACTAATTTTTTCTTCCTGTATTATATCCTTATATGCAATCTTTCTTTTATATATTACCACCATTGAAGTAACTACTTCTATGAATCTAGTGTTCATCTTGTTGTGCTAATGAGGAGTGGCAACTTGGACTGATACATGTATGTGCCTGGTCCTACGTTGTAGCTGACCGACTGATTGGTTATCATTGGTCTTTCTAAATATAACTACTACGACTGAGGCAAAATTTAAACGAAAAGACTCGGAATGTAAAAATATCATGTTTTAGTCAGTACTAAACAACTTTTCAAGATACTATAACCAGTGAAAAATTAAATTCGGTGTCTCGGGAGAGGAGTGTACATAGTCATCAATTTGGATATGACGCTGGAGAATGAAAGAAAGCCGGATAGGGTTTGGGTTTGTTGGTCCATCACAGTGCTTTAGTTGTATCCTTACAAGCCATGCAACTCGGGACATTATCAAACATGATTTAGGATAAAAGCCAATGGGGATGCTGCAGTAGTATTCTAATAAATTCCCCATAAGAGTTAGATGGAATTTCCTACTTCAATGAAACTTATCTCAGTTGTATTTTAAAAACTGACCCATATATTTCGGAAAACACTGTTTTTGTTCATTTTTTTCAAATTATACAACCTTTACCTTTACTGTTTATTCATTTTGTGCGGTGTTTATAATTTCATAGCGATACCCCTACAGTCTCATAACATTTCTAAGCATGTGAAAAATCTTGAGGATTAAATATTCCATTAACTGGAACCAAATTTCTGGTTAGTCCGACAGGAGATTTGAATCATTATATCAATCACCACAATGAATAGTAATATCCAAATATTTTGATTACAATATTAATACTATAGACTATAGCTTAGTTTAGAGTTCGTACTAAATAATATGATGAGTAACATCCATCGATCAATATTCTGTAGATCATTTTAACAAAAGTACTCAGCAAAAATTATCAGCCCCCATTATATACATATGACAGAAAATTGTAGTCATACACACAGAAATCCACACACTTACATTGTGACTAACACATGCGAAATTTCTTTCTTTGATGCCTCTGCCAATGGTGTTTCCACTCGTTCAACCAGAGCAAATGACTTAAATTCATATTTATGAATTGGATCATTCAATTCAAGCGGTGGAAATTCTGAATCTACATCTTCACTATCGTCACATTCATCATCCAGTGTATCAAACATGTGTAAAGCCAGCCGGTTTAAAAATGATCTAAATCAATAAATAAAATACGAGGTCAGTTAATCATACGAAATGTAGAACCTGGCATACGCAGATATCTGTTTAAGTTGCTATAATCCATTAACATAGTGACATGAAGTTGTCATAGAGAATTCCACAGTAGTAGATGTACCAAATAAGCGATAACCAAGCATCGGGTTTAGTAATTAAAGCTTTCAATCACTGATTTGTACATCCCAATCCCAATCCACCTACTTCGGTTTGAGCAGTCGAACAACGGCATTACTAGTTTTCATGAACTTAAAGTGAATTGAAACATAGTTCAATATCAGTATTTATTTCAAATGCGTTGTTTTCTCTAAGACAGATGATATAATTATGAAGCCTTCGTAGAGTTCATCAGCACATGCGTCACAACAGGAAGTCAGCTACCAAACAACCCTCGCAGATGACTAGTCATTTGTTCTCCCGATATGGGATTTCATTACTTGCTGTTAGTAACTATTTTCATATTGTTTGCACATTTATGTCGGTTGTCTTCTTCCTTGATTTTGTATTTCTTATTTTCGTCGGTTGGATCTACTTTAATGTGTATATCGGCTGCTGAGTGACCTGAGTGATATACCTCTTAAAACTCGGAGCTTTATTGTCTCCTCTGTACAATTTTGTGACCCTTCTAAATAAGAATTATCCCCGTAGTTGTCTATATGTATTGATAGGAGTGAATGTAAGTCGCTGTGTTTAACAGCTTGCTGATATTCACGTACATACAGATCGAGAGACCTCAAGTTTCACTAGATGAAATTCCTCATAGTTGCTACAATTTATCTTATGAACGAAAAATATTTGAACAGACTTTTTGTTGCTGTCTACTTTGTTACAAATAGTGTTTGTAAAGATTTCGTTGTCTGCTCTTACTGTCATTGGTCTTAGTAGTCTGCTTGTGATCTCACAGATTATCCCTACGTGCGATAGGATTGTTCGTCAGCTAATCATTATCCTGCAAATAAAAACTAACTAGTGTTTCAAAAATTTACATGAAATTAAATAGGATAAACACGACACATAATCAAGATTTTAAAAAAGTCATGCATGTAGCTAGACTCCAATAGCAATGCTTAAAACTTACTCGTCTAAATCATCTAACTGAGTTGGCACAAGTGTCAAATCATTGTCAGATGTTGAAAACTCATTAAAATACTGCCATAAAGTAAGCCCCATAAACTGTTGCACTGTAGTACCCACCCGAGGTTGCACTTTAATTGACGTGCGCGGGAAGCCATTAAGCCTCCAGAGCCAAACATTGAACTGGCGCAGAGAAGGATCTACGTTTGCATTGGGAAAGCGACCATCTGGAACATGCTGATTTGTACCAAGTGTTGACCGAGCATCGTAGATAGCAAAATCAGAGAATAGTTTATTTCTTTTTAAATGTCCACTCAGCTTAGCTTGTTCTAGCGCCAAAGTCAACCCAGATTTTTCTGATTTTATTGTTGTATCTGGTTTGTTTGTGCGGACTATCGGTTTTGATGGGAAATACGCGTCCACTTCCTCAGCTAAACAGTAGCCACAACAATAGTGGCGGTAAAAGTCTGTTTATTAGAATGATTTATTCACCACTAAGAGCTGAAATAAGAATAGCTACCCTCTTAAGACTTTTTATCGTGAAAGTTAGTAACAGTAAAATCTATCACAACCCATTTGTGTTAGTGGAAATAATGTAGAATATTTTAATGAAAAGTTGAGATCCGTACATTTTAAGATTACTGATGCATAGAGATGACATTCTACTCACTCTACTTAAACTGTAGGCAATATACCTAACATTCAGCTGACAGTCGAACTTATAAGCTACAATGATCACTTTGGCCGTGGTGAGTTAGACAACCATCAATAAAACGAGCCCTTTAAATTGACGCGATTGCAGAGAACAGGTGTAGAAGATGGAGTTATTATGGGTAACGGTTTATACGCTAATAAATCAAGTTCTCAACAAGACGACTGGGCAAATGTATTTTCAGAATAAAGTTAAGCCAAACGCAGTTTGAGACGAAAAGTCCTTCCTAACGAAGAGGTAATCCTGTATCAGGAGAATAACAAAATTATCCGTCTGTTTAGACTAGAATGCTGAAGACTAGGAAATCTGATAACGATAGATAACTTACCGGAAAGCTGTCGAATATTAGATGCATTCCTTTTAAGTGAAAGGGATGACTGCTGAGAATTCTCAAAGTTATTAATGGAGGAGTAAAACGCGCCTAACGGATCTGAAGATTGAAATAAGAGGGTGAGAACTAGACAAACCTTCACAAGGTACAAAGGCACATTCTGGGGAGTGCCTATAAAAATCATCGGAGTCCGTGTTTACAACTTCATTAAAACTTACACAAATATATCATTAAAAACAAGAAAGAATACTAGAACTTACTACTGTCCACTTAAAATATTTTCAATTTCTTCATCTGTGACATCTTTAACTTTTTTAAGTAATTTTTCGCAAAATCCCGAATCATCTCCAGATGCAAAGCAATTCCTGACATAGTTTAAGATTGTTGCTTTACCATCAGTTGAAACCATTACGTAACGCCAGTGTCAGAAATTCCGCCTTTCAGATTCAGATTTGTGTAGTAAGGACAGAAGGCCTACGGCCTATTTTATTCCTTTTCTAGTATACTTCTGTGAGTGTCCAGTCTTCTCTTTAAAGAGTCAATTGAAAGTGCGGACACTACTCCTTCAGGCAGCATGTTCCAAGTATTGATGACTCGGTGTGAAAGCCTGTATGCCACGGGAATTTTGTTCGTTCTTGGCTTGTCTACTCGCCTGCTATGTCCTCTGAGGTGTCCCGATCTAGTGGGAAAAAAAGAGGGAGAATAAGTTAAGTCCGAAATCATTTCTCATTATTCTGTACATCAAAATTAAATCTTCCCTTAGTCTGCGATAGGACAGAGTTAAGAGGTCCAGTTTTTCAAGCCACTCTTTTTATGATAAACCTCGGAGTTCCGGACTTGCACGGGTAGCTGCCCTCTGTAGTTTATCTAGTATGTCCGAGTCACATTCTAAACGGGGGCTTGCAGCCTGAACGCAGTTCTCTAGCTTAGTTCTCACTAAGGATGTGTATACTGTGGTGAACATGGTAGTATCTAACTTAGTGAATGTCCTTTTTAAAGCACAGAGGGTTCAAAACCCCTTGGCTGCGACCTCCTGGCAATGGGACGTCGTCTTAAGATCATTACTCACTGTTACCCCTAGATCCTTATGAGACCGAACTACGGGTAATGACACATCCCCTATGTTGTACTTATTAACCTTTGAATCCCCCAAGTGCATGTAGACACACTTTTCCGCGTTGATAGGCATCAGCCACTCTTTAGACCAGTTTATCATATTATTTAAGTTTGCCCAAAGAGTAAATGCATCTTTGTCTCCAGTAATTACTCGCCAAATTTTTACATCGTCAGCGTATAATAACATTAGAGACTGTGCTATACTTGTAAGATCATTAACGTACATTATAAAAAGTAAAGGACCTAGGACTGAACCTTGGGGCACTCCACTATTACAAACCTCAAAACTTCAAAAGATTCAGGACGTAATAGAATTGATCTTAGCTTAACGGGCTTCCCTATCTGGTAACAGTGGATCACCGACGCTTCCAGGCATAAACCTAGGTATGTTAACGATGAAAGAAGAAAAAGAAAAGTTTGTAAACCTTATTCCCAAAGAATATGTCAAGTTTTCTCTTAAAAGATAACTTGGAAGTCGCTTAAACTGACTTATCCGGCAGCGAATTTCAGCACTTAACCACTCTTAAGGAATAAGAATTATGTCTACAGTCTGTACCGCTATGTTGTCTGTAGTTTCTGGGTGACCCCTTAGGTATGCAACATGTGTCAGATGGACCGCTTTATACTTTGAAGTGTTAAACTTAAATCCGTTGTCATCTGCTCAAATTTGAAGTCGAGTCAGATCCTGCTGAAGTGCCTGTTTAACATCGTGGTTACGTACTTCTCTCCAGAGTTTTACATCATCAGCGAAAAATAATAAATCGAACGACACTTGTGGCAGAATATCGTTTATGTAAATCAAGAAAGAAGAGGTTCTAGTAATGAACCCTGGGGGCTATGACGACATGATTTCTTTTCGCCATAAGAGCAAGGAATGAGAGATTACCAATTAGGAATTCTTCGTTTTTAAATACTTAGTCTAGGAGCAGAGGCGCCTGACTATTTCTCCAACGGGTTGTTAACTTCACATTTTTGAATAATTCCAAACCCTCAATGAGGTTTAGGAAACGAGCTTCGGTAGATTTTCCACCACCAGTATAAGTATGTTCCGCGAAATTGACTTTAGGAAGGTTGAAGTCTCCTAGAATCAGGATATGAGTGAATCTGATACTAGCAGAGCGGGATAATCCCTCTAACCTACAATTGTCGTACTCGATATGGGAAGCGGGCTTCCTATAGATGGCTCCAACTAGACACCTTCTGGTGGTAGACAACCTCACTGAACACCATACGGGTTCATCAAGACTGATAAACTCTTGATTGTGCACTTGATGTACCTCTAGACAAGACGGCAGGTGCTATGCTACTTTGCCCCTTATTCCTGTATTTCTGTCTTTGCGAAACAAAAACATGCCGGTATTGCCAGCTCCTGGTCCATAAACTGAGAAGATATTCAAATTTCAGATATTCCTATCACACGAGTATTGTTAGCGTTGATGCGTTCGTGCAGATCATCCATTTTATTCGATAAACTCGCGGTGTTCGTATATAAACATTTTATGCTTTCAATTTGGAACGCGGGAGGTTCCCCGTTCTGTTTATCTGTATGAGCATTATGTGAATAGATAGGTAACCTACCTATAGAGGGTTTTCCCAGTTGCTATCTCCTATCCCTTCTATGCTTTTTTCATTGTCTTAAAAGTTCACATGTGGAACAGTCAACCTAAATTTGCTTGTTTGCTTGATCCTTGAATCATGTAGCCTATCCCAATGCATATGTATTCCATATGGCAACCGGCGTTTGTTGGCACGAAACGCCTCGAGATTCGAAGCCACTATATGGAGGATGGAAAGTTTATCCTCATCTATCGGGGTCTAGAATCCCCGTTCTTCTTGGTTAGTCTCACCACATGTTGAGCGAATATGTATTTTAGCTTCAAAGATTACTTGATGAATTTCCATTCTCGAATCTGTGTGATCAGGGTCCTTTTTTCTGGCACATCCTATGCAATGATATTCCTTCCATTAAAAAACGTCTTGCTAGATTTCTCATGAATATTTCGGATGGGATTTCGCTAAGAATACACACTAAATGCCAGATGTAACAGCAAAACAGTATGCGGGTCGCTTGCATAAATGCTTCATGAATATGGTGATGTGAATTGATCAGTAGATCTTAGCAAAACTCTCCGACTGTGAGACAAAAAACAGCATTCACAAAACGGATAAATTTGATAAAACGGGTGGTACAGAAGGTTGGGATACACTAAAACTAGACTTGACGTGAGAAATTGAAAAACCGAATAGTAATCTGAAGCGAAACCACAGTTAACTATTAACTTGTGTAAAACCGAAAAGGAAAAGCAATATACCGAACGTTAAACTCAGGACAGATTCCTTGAATCAAAATTGGTACTTTTGTTGAGTGAGGGCACAGCAAAAGTTTGAGATATGCAAATCACGTTAGGATTAACATTTAGTATCTCTAGACAGAATTATTGATTAGTTTGATCCTAGTGATTTGCGCTTGGGTAGTTGTAGTGTTCTGTTGTTTACGGAGAGGTAAAATTATTGCTATATCCCCTCTAGAATGTGATGGGTATTACAATTTAGTCGATAATACGGGTGATCTAGAAGTGACTTTTCGTAATCTTCAAAATACCTACGAAACAAAAGTAATCATTGAGTTGTTAAGGTAAATAAATCCTCAAAATAAACAGCTATGCAAGTCTTCGACTTTGATGATGATCTCATTAGTTTAACTGAAAGCACCCTGACTGAAGGTGTTAGGTCACACATCCACAGCCGATCGCCAGTGAGTGCGCTGTGTTACGTATCCGTTGCAAATGTTAGCCAGCTTATATCAAACGTCTCTCGACACATTGATAGTTGTTGTGTATAAAGGCGTTGTAAAACTCCGAATACCCATGACATCTTTAGAGCCTTCTTTCGAAGGACTTATCGGAGAAGCTCATCTCACTAACTTCAGATAGTAAGTTCCCAAACTTATCACGAAAATATTTTCCCTACTTTTGTGTGAGGTTTTCGTGTCCCTATATTCACTAGACGTCCTCATAAATGTGACTTATTAATTGAACACGTTATTAGTTAATTCGGATGGATAGACTATGAACGTTGTGGTACTTTATAATCATATCCCCCCTAAACTTTACTTCGCTGACCACAATTTCATAGCTTCCGAATGAGCCAAGTAGGATTATATTTTTGACTCAAGTCCCTTTTTAACTGAACTTCTTTGGACATTTTTCAGATGGACAATATCCTTCTGAAGGTAAGGGGACGTATTATCGAGGTTTTACGAGACGGCGTTTCAAGTAAACTGTGAAAAACCTTTAAATGAATCCAAAGTCGGAATACCAAGAGCTCCAGAAAAAAAACTCAGCTGGTATGATTTATTGGTTGCAGATTGACAACAGTAGCAGATAACCAAATTATCACGCAAAATGACAACCAAGCCCTTTTCGGTGATGAGAAATTCGATACTAGAATCTCTTAAGAAGTACGAGGTGGGTGGAGTGTCACGTCTGTTTATCATTAACTTTCTATATTCATTGTTGTTGAGAAGAAGGTTTTTTGTGGCCCGGCCTTGAATCCTAATTAAGTACAAAGTTAGTGTATCAACTGAGTCAGCTACATAGCTCTACACCTCAAGACTACCCGTAAACAGAAGATTTTGAGAGTTGAGATAGTTAGACAGGTCATCAATGAATAATAAGAAAAGAAATTGTCGCATAAATGAGCCTTGTGGCACTCCATTTTTCATGTAAAAACAGATCCTGATTGGGAATATGCGACGTAATTCATGTCATCCCTTTTCTTTACGGTCACATTCCATAGACATCGCTGGAAGAGGTCGATGAGTTATTCCGTCCCATTTCTTTTTCTGAGTACAAGTACTACGCAATGCCTTGCAGTGTGACTAGTCACCTGTGTCATTGGAATAACGCCAATCGGACAAGACAAAGTGCATGTTCCCGATGGATTCCTGTTTGTCGGACTTTAGTGTGTCGACTGACAAACTCAGCGTTTTAGATGGTGGTTGGAGGTAGTCAACAGGAAACCCTTGACCCGGGTTTCGTTCTACTTGGCACTCGTCAGCAAGGTGTACCTGTAATCTTGAGGGAACTGGTGCTCCCTGGCGGATTCGATACTTGAAGGATACTGTTTTGACATATGCTTGGTTGTTTAGGGTCAACTCTTAACCAACTAACCTAGGCTGTTACAGGACCACATCAAACGTTTTCTTGAAGTCTAAGAATAGAACTAATGAGAAAATTTGAGATTTGAGAGGAAGATGCTTGAAGCATAACCCCATCACTTCCGATAGATGATTTATTCGT